ATATGTGTAAAGAAAGAAAACACATTCACGGCAAAAATAATTAGATATAGAAATGCACAATATTGGACAAAGATCGTGCTAGCAAGTAGATATAGAAATGCACAATATTGGACAAAGATCGTGCTAGCAAATACTGTGCTTTTCAGTTCTATAAATAATTTTCTTAATAAAACAACAAACAAAAGTGTTAAAACTCGAACAGAATTGCATTACATTTCAACTCTTATAATTTCTGCCCAAAAGAAGTTGTTATCGAATTCGATGACTCGTCATTTCCGCTATTAGTATTTTAGCGTATGGCAGAGCGGCGTGGGAATGAGTTTTTAAACAGCCCCGGTAATGGTGAAAAATAAGATGCCTCAAAGAGTTTTGACACTTCCAACATTCCGAACTAGTGTCTGATGGCTACGCACGCGCCAACAAAGTTAGATTCGCATCTCCAAAGTTTTTGTCGTGCTTAAACAAGCTATTTAAGACGAACACAACAAATTGGCAGTAATCAGGAACGTTTTGATCTTTCCGAGGGCGCGCTACAAATACACCAAGAGGATATAAGTCAGCAAATATTGTACGTGTCGGAAGAGTTATTAAAGAGTATGGGGGTTGGATAGGAATCGTAGCTTAAAAGAAACACCATGGGGCAGACTGAAAAGTAGAAAAAATCTTAACAAATAATCCCAACAAAACATCTTTTAAATTATTATTTGGATTAAATTAGTTTTGTGCATCCGATCCTATGAAATACGACACCAAAATTGACTGAAAGTGGTATTTTACAATCTCTTTGATTATACATGTACAGTGGGGCAAAAGGCGTATCCTAAGTCGTGGGTTTCTAAAAATGCACGCATTTTTTCTTTAATCCCCCACATCTAGTTTTTTTTCTCTTTTACAATTACTTTGAAGCCGCTGGCATTGCTGGGGTTTTACTTCCAGTTGATTTCCGTGTATATATCCGTGAAACGCAGTCCCCGAGAATTTACAAACAACGCCATATTGGACAAGGTCGCATTTCGGGAACTCAATTTCACGCACATGATCATTGGCAAAAAAAGATATTCCCGCTAGCTCTGGAGACAGATTCATAAACCGTGACCATTTAGTTCCCACACGTCTGGAAGCATCACACAGGTCGAGGATTTTCTAATAGGACTCGCGTTGTGCAAATATTGAAAATCCAAGATCCAATACTTTTAAGTCAACAAATAGTGATCAAGAATCAACTGCCGACTTAATCAAAGTTTTTCCACGCGAAGACTCGGAGATTGGATAACAAAGAAACTGCAGGAAATTATTCGCAGTTTTAATCAGAGCTTAATCACAGCCCGTGTCGCAATTCGTATTCAGTCCTATTTGAACCGGAAGTTAAGGAATTGCACGAGCAGAGAGGTTGTAGAAAGTTGGACTGCAATGTCGGAAATTAAAGTCACAAGAAAGGATTTGTGGTCATGATCAAAAGTCCAGCTAATCGCAAAAAAATCTATGATACTTGAACTCAAAAGGCTCGGTTTGTATTGAGTCCTCAACGTTGGACCACGACACATTGAAGCAGGCTTTGTTTCAACGCTTGAATCAAATAGGAAAACACGGAACAAATGACCAAAAGCAGGACACCGGAATGATATACATTCCTCTGATATACTTCACCCGAAAACATTACATTTGGTCATATTCATCAATCAAATTGGATTTATAAGTGACCGAAGACATATGGTTTTGGCGCGAAAAAAAAAATCCTAAACGCATTTTCCAGGCGTCTTCAATTGCCAAGCACTTACAGTCCCCATCATCGAATACCGCACTCAAAAATACCACATATAATGATGTACAATTTTCTTCGCACGTCTTACAATCGGTATTTTCGCTTAAAATGTAATATTCATTTAGCAGGAATTTAAAACCCTTCATCTCAAAAGGATGTAAATTGGAATATAAGTTCAGCCTAACTACGATTTAAAGAAAATAACATATCGAAAACCCCAAGTAGTCTTTTTGTTTAGTTGTAGCGCCAATGTGTATGGTCAAGTTTGTCGTGTCAACGGCTGCATTTTTTACCAACAACACATCTCTCCGAGAGTGATATCTTTCTCTTGTGTACAGATATCAATCATGCCTATATTTTAGGATTGATTAGGTCCGAAAAACATGACTGAGAAATTAAAATTATACGTGGCAGCAAAGCTATGAATGTAGCGGTAACCCAAACTGAAGGACAGGTGGCAGTGTCAAGTATTTGGAATTAAAATTTGGTTTGTTTTGAAAATCACACACTCAAAATGTGAATATAGATTAACAATTTACATGCTCGCTTTTACGAACAAAGAACGGAAAAATTAATTTCATAATTTCACATTTATTTTCAATATTTATGTATACTTTTTATCCCTGTTAGAATATTTACATGCACATTTAATTTGTTACAGTAAATAACATACATTTTACATATACAAAAAAAAAGTAAAGACGTATTAATCAATGACATGAGCAGTACCGTATTTAAGTATTTGAAATAATAATAATAATAATAATAATAATAATAATAATAATAATAATAATAATTGTGAAAGTAACAACATCCATGTTGATAATAATAATACTAAAGGTGCAATTCAATCCTCTGGACATTGTTAAAAACAAGAAAGACGTTTCAGGGTTTTTTTTCGGCAGAAAAGCGGAAAACGCAGGAAAAGGTAAGACGGAGATCGAAGTCTCATATTGTATTCTACTGGTCATGGGTTTATAATGTACTAAAACACAGAATCACTAACAGACGTCGCAGCATGAGGCCCCATGTTTAGCCAGAGGCTAGGAAAAAATTACAGTTTACACGCAAAAGTCTACATAAAAGCACCGCCCTGTGGCGTGAAACGATGATAAACTGACAAAATGTTTATGCGACCGTTACACAAATCGATCAGAGCGTTGCTAAGAGGAGACACAATCTCGTAACCCAATAGCGCAAAATTTAATAATACTTTTTTTTTTTTGGGGGGGGGGGGTAATTTGATTATTATTTACATTTAGGGAAGTAACATCGTCCTCAAAAACGAAATATTTCTTTTTTACTTCGAATGATGTAACCACATCGTCCCAAAACACGTAATATTTATATATATATATATATATATATATATATATATATATATATATATATATATATATATATATATATATATATATTTTTTACTTTGAAGGGCGTACCAACGCGATAAATACACGGATAACCTTTTAGATTAATGTCATTAACTTTGAACAAAATGCGACCAGCACGTGTGTGTGTCGTAGGCCTATCAGTCTTCTATAGGAATCGCATTCAAGCAGCTTTCCTTAGCTAACTATCACCTGTAAATCATCGAACAATGCCTAAGGTTTTTTTTTTCTCAATGTGCCCTGCACGTGTGAGGGGGAGACAATGGATAGGTTAAAAAACAAAAAGTTTAATTCTTTGAAAATTCCATTTGTCAGTCTTTTTTTTTTTGCCAGTGATTAACGCCGTCATGTCCAGGTGCACAGGGGATCCGCGTCACTGAACCCGCAGATCAGTTGTCCGAGAAAATATAGGTCGGCCTGACCTACTTTCTTCTTCTCAAGCCAGCACGTACGAGCGCTACTGATTAATGCACTTCCTAGACCTCATCCATATATTTACAACCCAAAGTTCGGTGCAAATACGGGCCATGCTTTTAAGCATGTCGACGGTTATAGATTATCCCTGCTAATTACAGTTGTCTTGGAAGTGATCGTATCAATTAGACGGAGTCACCGCGGTCAATGCAATGCAGTAAAAGTAATAGCGTAGCCATTACGAACACCTTACTGATACGCGCGGTTTGTCTAATAGGGCCACGGAAAGAATAAAAAGGTTGGGGAAAAACTGAACGTGAAACAATAAACGAGTTACCTTTATTATATACTACAAAAGCTCTTGTTTGAGGGAGTGGAGCTCCTAAATGGCAGACAAATGAATGGAACCATATTACCAAGAAGCAATATCCAACCATCTCCGTGAAAGTAAAAAATATTATCATGGCAATCACTATATACGTGATATGAAAATAACAAAGAGAACTTAGCTACCAGAAAGTATACAATACAATAAGCTCTTGTAGTACAACAAAAATCTCAAGGACAAAAGCCAAAAGCATTTCATCACTTCCAATTTTCAATTATTAAAATATTTTGAGGTTTAGGTACCTACAAAGTGGTGATTTGGTAATCAACTATCAGATCTATCTGGTCTTTTTACGATTTCACGTGATAAACACCATACCATATTGCGGGCAGATGTCTCCTCTGTATACGATTTCAGTGATGTGGAAAGCAAATTAGAAATAAATTAACTGGAAGGTATCATCAAGCAACCACTGACGTAACAACTCGTGCAGCATCGCGCACACATTTGCCGCTGCACTTGCGACATTTTTTCAGCGAATGGACAGGAGACAGAAGACAGAAAATGCTTATAATAAAATTAAATAGCGCGGAAGCGCAATGCAAAAAGATGATTGACCCAGTCTAAACGCAAGACAATCTTCAGTTGCTTTCGTTATTCTTAAAACAAACCACCAGTTCGCCAGTACTATAATAGTATGCTAGAAAGTTTCAACGATCAAGACAGCGCACCAAATGAAAATGGCACACGCACCGAGCGGACTGTATCGCCCCTCCCCATCAATTTTTCATGATCCCATTAAATGACACGACGCTGTGAAAGGCAGTTTGCTTGCCGATAGATCCCCTAGGACAGCTCTTAGGTAATGGTTCATTTCAGCTCGCCAGCATTCTCTCTCTACGGGGAAATTGGAAAGCGAGCACGGTGCGCCGTAGCAGGTCTTCGGGGACAGGCGGTGCATTAACACATCCGATATCACGACCGATTAGATAAATAAATAAACAAATTCAAGGAAACATCCAACCTCGTTACTGACCTGTCGTTTGGTTGCATGTTAAACGAAAGCGTGGGCTGTCAATCATTCCCATTTATTATGTTAAACAAAACTTCTGAAATAAATGTGCGTGCGTATTTTGAAGCGGACTCGGGGGGTCTCTAACGCAAATATGAAAGAGCAACGGGACTTTTTTTAACGACCGCTTCATCATTTCGAATGATAATTTCTTCCAGAACTGACCCCATAAATACAGAAAACGTAAGATAAACATCCTCTGTGAGTTTAACATTGTTTTAGATGAAGAATGGATAAACAGGAAATTCCAAATTTTCTTCCAACAGTAATTCTAACGTGTTCCCACTAAAATTGTCGTGTATGAGAGATAACAAGATTTTTCTACTAAGTTATGCGAAAACTCCTTCTGGCAACGGTATCGCATTACGGCAACTAGAAGAAACCCCGTTTTCAAATGTGAACATTTATTTAGCCTTTCTTTTTTATATTAGTTTGAAAAGGTGGTGACTGATCATTTTATAATTACAGGGAGTCCAATAAAGTACATTATATCATTGTGTTACTGTGCACTATTATCATATTATGGAAAAGTAGCTTCACGCTATAAGTATAAAGTGAGAGTTCCAGTTACAATACACAGAGAAACTCTATCTGTCAAAACAAATTTTGATTTACTTCAAGAAGCATTCACAAACCTAGGTAAATCATTTCTTTATACATCATTGACTGATCTAAAAGAAGTCGACCAAAAGGAAGACCAACAAACCACACTTTTTGCTTCACAGAACTTCACCACAAACAAAACATTGGGAAACGCATAAAATACAGCCATTTACTTTCACTACAACCGGACCTACTTTTCACAAACCTACAAATTATTCAGTAAACAATTTACTGATTTTTCACAGTCTTAAATAAACAATATGACAAAAACATCTTGTTTGAATAAGATAAACAGTAGCTTTAAAATAACAATACCTACTTCAACATAAGTAAGATTCAAAAGACTTCTCCAATAATGTATTTTTCATATAAATATGATTACAAAACAAAAAGAACAATTTTAAACAATGTCTAAGTTGATGTCAGAACTTCAATCATTATTCTCTGCAAACGCCAAAGTGTCTTCTGTGCATTAACTACATCATGTCCCATTTCCGTTTAAGCCGAACTGAAATATTCTTGAGCTTTTGTCCACTCTTCACTTGGAAATCTAGCTTGTAGAGACATTCTAGTATCAGCCTGGTCCTTCTCTGAAATAATAATAATAATAATAATAATAATAATAATAATAATAATAATAATGATGTACTTCTCATATGTTCTCATGCTCCAACAGTTGCTTACATAATATTGGACATTAACATTTTTTTTAAATTAAAAGAAAATATTGTGGTAAACCTAGAGCATGTACCCTGAAGATGAAGATCCCTACTGTAGTCAGTCAAATATTACTTCAAGAAAAAAAAATGCTTTTTTTAAGGGAATCATTAAAACAATAATTGAATTGAGCATCATACTGAAATAATTTTTAATGTTATACGTGTGCACTGTTGAGGACAAAAAGGATAATCTATGTACATTACAAATTAGAAAGTTTGAGGAAAGAAAGCAATTTTAACATGTTCAAATCATTATACGAACAAGGTTCAAAGTGTCCTCACTATGTAAAAAATGGGAAGGCAGTGTCAAATACATGCAGCAATAAGGAATTAAGAGTTTTAATATTAGACAACTTGAGCAGAGCACGAGTGGGATGAATTTTAAGAAACAAAGACAAACCCTTATTTCAACAATTTGCACATAATGTACCATATCTAATTGGGTGGTTTTTCCACAGAGCCCTTATGTGTTGAAAATAAGAGTTAAAAGGATCCTCAGTACTTTCATGCTGGCATTGCAGATGTCATAATAACCTGCATCTCTATTCCTTTTCAATAAGTGGAGGAAATGTCTGGGGGTCTGTGTTATCGAAATATGTATTTAATAATACTGTATAACGAAGAAGCAGACCAAAATGATTGATGATTACTTGAAGTAATGATTGAGGAAATGGAAAAAAAGATGACCACTGGGGTATGGTCACAGAAGTTAAAGTCCTGGGTCTAATTCATCCATCATTTTAATATTATTTAAACCTTTTTCACCATATATTGTCATTTTGAGTTTTTTAGCATATGTCGCCATTTTGAGAATATATTTTTCATTTTTCTAAGGTTATCTTTTTCGCATGTTCTTGGAAACTGCTTTGCAACCTCAGAAAAGTATGCTGCTGTTGTTTTTTTTTTCAAGTCAACTGTGAATATAATCTTAATATTTTTCAGCATACTTTCAAAGCAAAATCACTATGAACCTTATACAGTGTAAAAAAAGGTTTTGCTAAAAACCTAACTAAGGGGACCCCTCCCATTCTGCCTGAGGAAAAAGTCTTGAAAGCTCTTGAGCTGTCTAAACAATCGTGAAATATAAGAGATCATCACTTTGAACCCGCATATCTTCAAGGGGCACCAGCGAGGCACCCCCACACGCCTCTTTTTCTCCTGACCCTTTGCCTAGAAACACCCAATGTTTATGCAAACATGCAAAGCTGCTTGAATCCACAGAATCAGAGACTGAAACATGAGATGAAGGGGATGCCCTTTGTACACAGCATTGCTGAGGAGGAGCCCAATGTTTGGGTTAGCAGTATTCACTTCCGTGGCATTCCCCCCCAATTGGTTCAGCTCACCAACCACAAGCCAATGCTCAATTATCCAATCATAATCAACTTTTCAAACGGGCGTTTTTCAAATGCGTCACCTTTGACACCGCGCAAACACCCGGAGATCATTATGTATTCATAATTCTGTGTTTATCCAAAAATATTTTGACTAAATGGCAAGCAAACACAGTATTTTGTCACAGTTGAAGCATAAAGCCCTTCCTGTCAACTCGAGCAAACGGGCTGGTTTCAGTTTACCTTACCAATCTGACTGTGACACAGGTTGAGAAAGGCGTGTCTCACCACAAGAAGAACAGAAGTTATTTTACCTCCAGAAATAATACATCTGTTTGCTCTTTCACACCAAATGCCCACTATTTGACGGATACAAAAAAAATCAAAACTCGCAAGCTAATATTTTCGCAGGTGTGATCTAACCTTTTTTCACAAAAGAGGTCTAAAAGCCATCACCTATTCTTCTAAACTGTTCAACAATCCAAATTCCTAATTCAATACAAAAAGGACAAGCCTACTGTGGACCACTGGATTCTTATGTCATCTCCTTTGAATGCGAACACATACAGGGTTAGCACATAAAACTATCGTTCAACACTGAGAATTTCATAACTTGTTTTCTTTTATGACATAAGATACTTGCAAATATTGCCAAGTGTATAAAATAATAAATAAAATGAAATAAAAAAATTATTTAAAAAAGGATTTAGCAATAGAAAAAGAAAATAAGAAAAATAAGTATATTTTGCTGACAAATGTCTTCTTTTCACTTTTGTATAACAAAATTTCACAGTTGAATGTTATTGGGATAAAAAAATAGAAGGTAATCAGTAAATACAGCTGTCTCCAGTTTTAGTAGATAACATTTTTCAAAAGTTCAAATTATCATTTGTCGAGGGAAAGGTTGTTGATTTGAATTTTTCTAACAAAATTGCACCAGTTGCACACAGCCCAATATCTTCTTACAGCAATGAATAAGGATAATTTGTTCTCATAATCACCTTCATAAAACAGTTTTATCACTATTTTATTGCTAAGAGCAAGATTGTGTTCTATGTACGACCCCTACTGGCCTCCGCCTTGCCGCCAGCAGCAAAGCATGAGCGTCAACCTCAATTCCAACTGCGGCAAATTTGGAATTTGGCAATCATGTTCCAGTTATTCAGTCTGTCAATTAGCGATGTCCCCAACACGACTGTAATTCAATTACAGGGGGGAGGTTGTGGATAAAATTGTCACTGAGCCCTATTAAATAATTTGACAGAGAAGGTAGACCATTTTTCATCACCAAATTAGCATAGCTAGGGCCCCAGAGTCAGTAGCGATTTAAAGCAATTTAACCAGACCCTTTCCAAATTTGTTAAAAAGGACTTTTGAAAAGAAGGTATTTCAATAGTGGCTTTACTTCCTATGCAGCAGGGGAACAAAGGAATATCTAAACAGCTTTACCTGAAAAACTAGCTTAAATACAGTAATTCAGTATTTTTAAACATTTACCTATTTCCTACTGTGCCCTATTCACATTACTAATCTGTATTTATCAAACCTGCCCAGATCTTACTGTGGCTATTCCTAATTCTATTGACTTTGTTCTTGACATTTAAGAATAAATACAGATGTCTGGAGAGCAGACTTTTCTTGACCAGTCTTCAGCCGACTCAAACAATTTTTTAAAAAGGCAAAATTTTTAATTTCAAACCACAAACTCTTACAGGGTGGTGAGAAAAATAACACCATATTAAATTTTTTCAAAGGAACAAGCAGCTGCTCTGACTTGGTTCAAGAAGAACGGGAGAAATATTATGACTTACTTCATGATGGTTTTGAAAATAATAGCTATAAACAACTAAACAAAACTGAAAATGATATAAAGTTGATCTAATCTGAAAATAAACTATTTGACTAGATTATTTACTTATAATATCATCTATCACCTATTTGAATTTTTTTTATTTTAAAAGAAAGTTCTGAACATTGTGCTTTATATTGAGTTAAGATCACATTTAGAAATCCATTCTACAACTAAGTTTAAGGCAGTTAGCTTAATTTCTGGAATCTCAGTTATTTCACTGAAATTCATTATCTACAAGCGGACAAACCTATAAATTTTTACATTATTTTTGAGTTTAAAATATATATTTTACAGTAAGAACTAGCAGGCTGATTACACTTATACGAAAACCATGTTAAAGCTATACAATGCCATTGGCAGTCATCTTATTTCATAGCCATGGTGTATATTATTACAGGACCTCCATTTTTTGTGCTTGTGTATTGTAAACAGATAAACATGCCATACCAGAGTGAACTGTTAAGATGTTCCACAGAATTTACCAGTCACAACACACAAGGACCAGGGCATATACTGGACTGTGGCAGTCCATCATGAAGGTGAAATCCCGAAACTCTGCTCACTCCCCCCCCCCCCCCAAGGGCCCCCCGACATACACACAATCCCACTCCGATTGTCACTTACAGTATTAATATCTACTGTTATACTGCCACTGCTGTCATAACAAAAGCTTCTTCAGTGACCATTTTTATTTGTCAAGACAATTCCGTTGATTTAATCTACTAAATGTACATCACAGGCCATAAAGTTCCACTAATTTTTGTCATAGCCAAATTGGTAATATGTTCATACTTTTCTATTCCAACAGTTGCCAGCGAAAAAAAAAAAAAAGATAATACAATCGCATTGCCATGGAAACTAAAAGCTTTTCAAGCACCTCGGAGTAAATGAGTGTATGAAATTTATCAATAAAACAGCCTGCAGAATCCTATGGACTAGGAGCCCAATCCTATTGTAAACTGGAGCCATATGGCCAGCGAGATGTCAGGGGGCCTGTAAATAAACAAGACTTTTTATGTCTGGGGCCACACACACAAGTTTAGTAATGATCTTTCAAGTATGGATGGGCTTACTCCTGAAGCAAGGAAAATATTTGGGGTTCTGGGAGCAGCATTTGTGTCGCAAAGTGTCAGTTTCTTTGGACTTACAACCCTGCTGCTTAGTTTCAGACAGACTGTTTTTTTTTTTTTCTTTCGGGGAGAAAAATCATGATTGGGTCTGTGTTTCCAGTTTGCTGGCAAAAAAAAGTTCAATGTTATCCATGATGAGGTCTACAGGTGTACGTCTGTGTTCACCCAAGCCTACACATCCAAAGCATTTTGCTTTCATGGCTTTTCAGTGTCAGTTCGTGTTATGAAATCTGCTTACTTACATGTTCTTTATTTATAAAACAAGTTGTCCACTTCAAAATCTTCTTTTCGGTGGAAGGAGCGAATTTTTTGTGTAAAGTCAGAGATAGTTTTGAAACTACAAATAACATTGTGTACCATTAAAGAACATGAGAGTAAAACAATTTGATGTTCTTTTTTTGGATACAGTGGTAAAATTGAGATCATGTAACACAAGTTAAGCAGACCGTACACCTTGCAAGTTCAGCTGTAATATTTTACACCAGACAGTATCCAATCACCTTTTTCAAAAGAAAGTTAATCAGTGACTCACTTTATTCAACTTATATAAGAGAT